TAAAAGAACCAGTCAGTCAACAAATTTTAATTGAATTTCTGCCATGTACAAAACAAGATGATGTGGATTGGCACAAAATACCGAGAGATGCATTAACACCGAGAGGCAGTTCTGTTTTGTGTAATCTAGTCTAGGACAGACATGATGGATATTCATAAAAAGTCACTAACATGATGTCACATGAGTATTAAAAGAATTATATAAATATTTATTAAATATAGTATATAGAAATAGAGATTGATGGAAAGGCAATGATATCACAAATTATAAACACAAAGACTTCTTCCCCCAAATCCTCTGTGAAATGATTAATTGCATATGTTTTTACTGGCTATGATAATCTAATCCTAATTAGATTCCTAATCATTGGTGGTTACTAATTGGTTAATAGGATATAATAGTTCATCTACAAAGGGTATTAAGGAAGACCTGAGAAAACCAAGGCTAATCTGAAGGTTCAAATCAACAATAACAACAATATTAATAGCTAACATTAACACAGTGTGATGTGGTATATACATGGATTATAAAGTAAGAAAATGCTTTTATTATCTCCAGATGATAATCTAAGCCATTAAGGCTTTCCTTGTCCAAAGCCTCACTATAAATATTTGTTTCCTACATCTCCAGTTCAGAACTCATATCTTACTCTCCTTATTGTCTCTTTAATTTTAAATAACCAAGTGGCAGTTGGAGCCAAAGAACCTTATCAAACGGAAGTCAGCCTTGGTAGAACATATCAGAACTAGGAATATCAAAATTGGGGAAGTCCAACAGTTAAAGGAATATGGCAAGAAGTCAGGGGAGCCACCAGTTTTTAAACTAGGGGGAAATTGCCAATCGGCAAGGATTGAGAACTAGGCAAGGAGACTGGGTGTAAAGGGCTTCAATTGGGGAAGGAGGCACTGTGAAGGGGTGCCCAGCCCCCAAGTGTCCCCCACTGGTAAAGCCTAAGGACAGTCAGCTCACCACCATGCCCTGGGCCACAGCTGCAATGCCTTCCTCATCTTCCTCTCTTGCCTTGCATCTCCTCCATCGCCCAGTCTTACACAGCATTGGGCTGCCTCACTAGTGTTTGTCACCCTGCTGCTGATGGTGTGGAGTTAGTACTTTAAATGGAAACTTTTTTTAATCTAAATTCAAATGTCTATGAGAACTAATTGGTAAACAGAATCCCATCAGGGAATCCTGAGTCTTCAAGATCTGAAACAGGGGCAGAATTTTCATGTATTTTCCTCAGGGTCAAATCAAAGGAGGGCACACATGGCTGAAAGAAGTTACCCCAGGCACCATCTTTTATTTGTGAATAAGGAAAGGCAGTTGGGAGCCTCTGCATTTAAATTTATTGGAAGATGGATTCAAGAACATTTGTATTTGGGTTTGAAGTCCATCATAACTTATTATGGAGATACACATATAAGACATATACAATAAAGGGGTTAAAGACAGACACAACATATAGACAGAAGGTACTGAGTATCCAGGACCTTGATTAAAAAAAAAAAAAAACACAGGATTGCCTCAACCAGGTTATTTCTATAAGTTTCCCATTATTGTTGTTTTTCAGTTGCTAAGTTGTGTCCAACTCTTTGGGACCCCATGGACTACAGGACTACAGACTTCCCTGGCCTTCACTGCATCCCAGAGTTTGCTCAAGCTCATGTTCATTAAGTTGGTGATACCAACCAACCACCTCATCCTCTGTTGCCCTCTTCTCCTGCCCTCAATCTTTCCCAGCATCAGTCTTCTCCAATGAGTCAGCTCTTCCATCAGGTGGCCAAAGTATTGGAGCTTCAGCTTTAGCATCAATCCTTCCAATGAATATTCAGGGTTGATTTCCTTGCAGTCCAAGGGACTCTCAAGAGTCTTCTCTAGCACCACAATTTGAAAGCATCAGTTCTTCGGCGCTCAGCCTTCTTTGTTGTCCAACTCTCACATCCATTCATGACTACTGGAAAAACCATCACTTTGACTATATGGACCTTTCTTGGCAAAGTAATGTCTCTGCTTTTTAATAGATCATCTGGGTTTGTCATAGCTCTTCTTTCAAGGAGCAAGTTTCCTGTTTTAATAAATTCCTGAGTTTTGTTTAGCCTGTTACCTGATAGTAGTAGAGATGTATGAGCCAGACTCGGTTGAAATCCTGCCTCTATTCCATCTCAGCTATGACTTTGAGTAAGTTACTTCAGTTCTCTGAGCCTTGAAGTCCTCATCTGGAAATTGGGGTGATAATAATAGTCACAGGGCTATTATATGGATAAGATGAATTATAGTATTTTTCCAAAGCTTAGAATAGTACCTAGTAGTTTGTAAGTATTTCTGAAATGTAGATGTTTTCAAATTTTTCTCTGTTTTCCTAGGTCAAAAACTTAAGATATGCCTGGATTCCTCCCCCTCCTCAGCCCATTGCCTGTATTCAGCAAACACTGCCAATTCTGCCTTCTAAACAGCACTTGACACCATCTGCTTCTCTCTCTGGAAGGGCAGCTGCTGCACTCAACATCTTTAACTTGACCTACAGTAGCCTTCTCTCTGGGCTGTTCCCTCAGCCTAGCATCCTTTCAATCTGAACCTCAATCACAATTGTGCACACTCAAATGTGCATGATCCTTATGAGTACGTGATTTTCCAAAGCCCAATCGAACTCTGTTCTGAAACCATATTGAAACTGCTCGGGTGGTAAAAAGTATAAACACACTCATTTGGAAGTTTTGGGGTCTTCTGCATTGTTGCATCATCCTGGGCAGAGACAAATGAGAACCTGGTCCTTGGTCCTCGCTGGTGGCCATGAGGCATCCACCACCACAGGCTGCATTGTTCTGCTTCACTCTGGCCATGCTTGGGTACAGAAATCTGTTCCCGGTCGCCTGTGGCCTCATCTGTCTCCTTGTAGAGCATACTAATTTTCTTCCTGTACCATTGCCTCCTCTCTGGGTAGACTTTCCAAGGGTACCTGTTTTCCAAGAAGGAAGCTCAAACCTTCTCTGCTCCCTTTTGCTTCTTCTCTGTCCCTCTTCTCTCCAGCCATTCTCCTCCTTGCCAAGAGGACTGCCGTTCTAGCTTTGTGTTTATTTCTAAAACCGTTTCCCTGGACCTCCACATTCTCTTCCTATTACCTACCTCACACAGTCTCTAAATTGCCCTAAGGCAATTTTGGATCAGAAAAGCCAGAGAGAACATTTCTATTTTTCACCTTACCATATTTCTTGCCTGAGGCAATGAGCAAAGGGTCTGCTGTCTGCTTAAATGAAGAAAAGGAAAAAGAATGACAAGGAGAAAAAAGTCAAGGAGATTTCTATCTGAAATATTGTCTCACTACACATTCAATAGACAGAAGGCAAATAGACTGGCTGAAGACCTAAAACACTAATTAAATCACATCATCTCCCTGTATAAACATTTCTGGAGGCTTCTAATTGTGTTGAGCATCACATGTAAACTTCTGGACCTGATGTGCAAGTTTAGACATGTTAGCACAAGCCCACAGCCCTCCTCCCCACTCTTCTTCCCTGTCACTCCCTCCCCCATCCCCAATGCTGGGCCATCTTAAACTGCTGCCTGTCATAAGACAAGACATGATGGCCCCTCGGATTTAAACTACACTGTTTGATAGTGTGTGCACTTAAGATCTACCTAGCCTGCTGCTGCTGCTACGTCGCTTCAGTCGTGACCAACTCTGTGCGACCCCATAGATGGCAGCCCACCAGGCACCCCGTCCCTGGGACTCTCCAGGCAAGAACACTGGAGTGGGTTGCCATTTCTGCCTACCCTACCCTACCCCAAGAGAAACAAAACAAAAACCTGGGAGGAAGCAGCTATTCCTGAAATCATTGTTGATCAATACAAAGTATATGTGGCTGTTGAGCCCTTGAAATGCAACTAAACTGGATTGAAATGTACAATTTCAGATTTCTAAGATTTAGTACCAAAAATATATATATAAAACTTCTCATTAATAGCTTTTTACATTGAGCATCTATTGAAATGATAATAGTTTAGATATAGTGGATTAAATAAAATAGATTATTAAAATTAATTTCACCTTTTTTTTTTTCCTGTTTTTTGATGTTTCTACTGGAAAATTTTAAATTGCATATGTGGCTCACTTGCATTATATTTCTATCGAATCTGCTCTGGGTTGCAACTTTGACGGAAACCAACCTAAAATATGAAAGTTTATAAAGAAAGGACAGAGATTCTTCACCCACCCATCCTATCTTCTGAAGCTCCAAAGATGATGGTGCTTTATCCTCAGCCACAGTCAAGATCAACCTTAAGTTGCAGTGAGATTATAGGTAGATTACATTTTTACAAAAGAAAGCATTCCTTTCCATTTCTCAATATATTCTGTTCACAGGCCCCTAGCATTCTAAAATCTTGATTAAGAATTATAGGCATCCCTGCAATTATCCTCAATAATATAATTTTCTCTTGTAATCATCTAGAATTTATGCTCATCTCCCTTCACAGCTGTTCAGGATACCGTGAGCAAATAGTGATAGCCCTGCTTTGAGTCCCATGAATTCTACGTTCTCAGTCTTCCTGTGTGTACAGATTCTCTTCTGCGGGTCACCGTAATTTCACAATTGGACAGTCAGTGGAGGGAGGAATGAAACCACCTTAACCCACGGGCTAATAAAAATCCTCAGCGAGCTAAACTTGTATGAAACTGATTCAGTGTATTAACTCTCAAACCTCTGCAGATTGTCTGAGAAGCAGACACATAAGCAAGAACCTGCATGAAGGCATAGTGAGACTCACAGTGTTAGAGCAGAATATGTTTTCAAGAACAATCTGAGAAATCCTTCTTATTTTACAAATAAAGGAAGAAGATCTGAAGGAGTTGAAGTATCAGTGAGGGCCAAGATGGGAATTAAAACCCGTGACTCATTCAGTCAACAAATATTTGCTGAGCTATTCACTGTGTGCTAGGACTCTTCTAGGTGTTGAGATGAAATAGATACTAGTTATGATCCTTCCCCCATTACAATAGAAACCCCAACTGTTTTAAAGTTTAAAGGAAATTTTTTGTCCCGTAGCTGAGAAGTCTGGCTGGCTTCAGGCAACTCTTGACCAGTAGCTCAGAGGCATCTGAGAGGATGACTCTTTTTCCCATTGTTCTCAGGACCACTTCTTCAGTGTTGGCGCCATTTTGCAATCCTATTCCATTCCTATCACAACACAACAATTCAGCAGCTCCTGGGGTTATGTGCTTTCAGGTACACATCTAGCACAAAAGAGAGTCCACTTTGCCCCTGTGTGTGTGTGAAGTTGTGCCCGACTCTTGCAACCCTGTGGACTCTGGCCCACCCGTGGGGCTCCTCTGTGTATATGATTCTCTAGGTGAGAATGCTGGAGTGGGTTGCCATGCCCTTCTCCAGGGGAGTGATCTTCCTGACCCAAGGATCGAATCCGAGTCCTTCATGTCTCCTGCTTTAGCAGGCAGGTTCTTTAAAACTAGTGCCACCTGGGAAGCCTCCCCACCACAATGCACACCCCTCATAGAAAAAGAAAGACCAACTTGGAACCAATCCTTGCAGCTCTCATTACCTGAGATGGATCATGTATTCAACCCTGAATACATCTATTAATTCTATTAGTGTGGCTTGGAGATTGGATATGCTGACTGACTTAAGTCAATTGGGGGCCACTCCCAGAGTTAAGAATGGTTTCAAGTCTATCCAAAATACATGCTGTGAATTCTGAGGTACCAGATAGGATGGGAAAGTGGAAAAATAAATGCTGGAAAGCAACAAAAATTGTAAACACCAAAGTGCTCACAGTTGAGAGCTGGTCAGTACTGCAGTTGATCTTTACCCCTGCTCCCGGGAGTCCCAGGCGTTCTCTCGCTATGTCTCTGGCATGTGAGGGCCTCTGCATCACAAGCGCTGATCTTGACTTCAGACTAGTCCTGTTTCTTCTGTTTTACATATTGGGCTTCTCTGTAAGATTTTATTTGAAGAGAGTGCTTCGCTGCTGAAAGGCAGATTTAAAACCACTCCCCCACATCAATGCGACTGCAGTGGCAAAATTACCTATGTTTTATACTTTTTAGGCGTATCCCTACTGCCATAGGGCCTCCCCAGTGCTAACTGAGTGGAAACACAAAGGCATTTCTTGGAACACGAGTCTTATTGCTGCAGATTCCGTTTCACAGGCTCCTTTCTCATGCTCCTATTTTGCTATTAGTCAGCCCTTTCATAGACATTCTTTCCATTCCCTGCTCCATTTACTCACTCAAAACACTTAAGGAAGATGTCTACTTTTCTAGTATTTTCAAATAGTCAACTTTAAGGTCATGACTAAGCAAATGAAGTTCTTAACAGAGTGGGTCTGCAGATGAGATCCAATAATGTAGACAGTAATACCGCTATCCTTCCAGTATTCCACTTGCTTACCCAGACTGAAGTTCTATCCTATACTTTGAAAATTAACTTAAAGTAACAAAAAGTCAAACCACCACAAGAGAAGGTAAAGTGTCCCTTACTTCATACAAAAGTTGGCAATATTTTTCTTATGGTCATGTACTTGGTGAATTCTACCCTTTCTCTGCTGAATTTTATATCCTTCATATTCTAGTCAATTAAATGTAAAATTGGAAAATATATAAGATTTTTTGTTAGCTCTGAAAGGATTAAACTCTTAACATTGTATTTATTTGTATTCATTCTACTTCCATCCCATTTCATCGTAATGATGTGTTTGGTCTATAAAAATTTTATCCTTAAAATGTTTCTTGAGAAACATTTAGGGAATTCAAAACATTTCCTAAAATTCAGCCTGAAGCAATAAGTAATATTTGAATCATAAATTTTTGTGGAAGCTGGTATTATATAATATTTCTTCACTTAAAATTTAGTGATAAGAATCAGTAAGGATACATAACAATAGGTAACGATTAGAAATACTTTGACCTTCTAGTGACAGTTGGTAAAGAATCTGCCTGCACTGCTGGAGACCTGGGTTCAATCCCTGGTCAGGAAGAACCCCTGGAGAAAGGAATGGCAAACCACTCCAGTATTCCTGCCTGGAGAATTCCATGGACAGAGAAGCCTGGCCGGCTATAGTCCGTGGGGTCATGAAGATTTGGACACAAATGAATAACTAACACTTCAATACTGGAAATACTTCAGATTCATATTGATCTATTTTTATATTAGTTATCTTTGGTTTTTATTTGATGCCACATTCTCCTCTGACTTCCCTGGAATTCCAAGGGAAATATGTATACATAGAATTTGGGGAAGTGTTTGGGAATAGCAGCTATAAGGAACTGAGGGAAAGATTGGACAGAGGGAGAAAGTCACCTGTGAGCTTTTACAGCAGAGACCCCAGGTTATCATGGGAGCTTATAACCTTAATGGGACCTCAGAACTGTCTTAAGCTGTGGCAAGAATCCCAGCCTTTGTATCCCATGTTGACTAATCACTGGATATAGACTGCCCCTGGAGAGAAGGCACATGGTGAGTAAGGCAGTTTCCTCCACCAAGCATGATGCCTGGGGAGGGATGCAGCAGTGAACTGCCTACACGCAGTGCTCTTGAACATTGGAGAAGTGAATCCTTCAGTTCTGAAGAGGGGCATAACCCCCACCACCACCAGAAAGGAGCTTTGAGGTATGTAGCTAAAGAATGCCAAGGAGGTCTGCTCTGTATCTCATTTGCCACTCAAATTATTCATGTAACTTTGAATGCATGATTAAATAAAGTAAAAGGCATTTGTTGATACAATGAAAGTACAAGTAATAGATAGTTGATAAAAGAAAACGTGTAAGAGGTTCCCCAGGGTCTAAAAAGCTAATTATTGATTAGCATGTTTGCACTAAAAGAATATTTATAAAGAGTATAAACACAAGGCAATGAATTTCTAGAAGTTGATTTCTTTGTTATGTGATACATTTCTTAAGAAGGGAGAAAGGAAAGGAAATCACAGGAAAATTATTTCACCTATTTCATTGATTAAATGGTCAAGCCTTGACCAGACTCTAAAAAGCTAGGTAGCAACCTTGTTATCATCAGGGACCACCAAAAGTATCACAGATGTTCTTCTCAGATAGCATATACACACAAGAAAAAAACATAAAAACAAATCAGCAAAAACAAAAACAAAAACAAAAAAGAAAAAAAACAAAAAAGAAAAAAAAATTAAAAAAAAAAAACAAATCAGCATAGATACAAGATTGAATAAACAATAACTTCAGCCTGAAATCTCTGCATTGGGAGCTGATAATATATTACAGACAGTGTTAACTTTGCACAGTACTGAAGTTTATACATGTTGAAACTGTGGAAGGTGAGCATTGTCTTAATAAGTTTCATTTTCATTATTGATACTTTAATTCACCTACAAATTTGCCACTCTTTTGAGAATTATTCAGTTGTCTAAATCATAGATTTTAGTCATTTTCTTTGTAAAAGGAGAATTTGTATGGTTTTCCTCAGACTGTCTGGTAAGTATCTGAATTATTTCCTGGGTGAATCTTGAACCTAACAGAACTTTCTGGAGCAAACTATTAGTGCTTGCTTCTTATTTAAAGATGCATAGTTTTTATAGCAATCTTCATAATATTGTATTTTAGTCAAATGCTAGTTGGTCTTTCAACTATTCACTGTAGTTCCAAAAAGGATCACCATATACATATATATGAATATATAATTGGTGGAGATCATAGTTCATATTTCATATATTATTGTTTAATGAAAAAAAACAAGTTTATCCTTTAAATTCAGTTATTAAAATAATTTTCTTTTGACTTCAAAAAAACAATAAAAAGTAAAGTTTCTAACTCTGCTCAAACTCCAGGAGATAGTGAAGGACAGGGAAGTCTGGAGTGCTGCAGTCCATGGAGTTGCAAAGAGTAGGACACAACTTAGTGACTGAACAGCAATTCTGCTCAATGTTGTTTATGCTCACGAAGACTGATCTATCCAGTATACATAACAGGAAAAAATATAATATGAAATAAAGGATAGAAATGCCAGTATGAAATATATCCATTTTCAAGGGCACTGGGGAAATTGAATTCTGACTAGAAAACAAAATGCTTAACCCCAAGGAGTTTCTTAAATTAATTTTAACTATCAAACCTTTAAACATGAGTCAGCAACTTCTTTATAAAACATGTCCTGATATTTTGGAGTCAACAAATTCGTGGATTACAAACTATAGAAGCCAGTGCTTTCTTGAGAAATCACATTTGTCAGTTACCTTTGTTTCTTTGATAAGACTCAGAACTCAATTTATTTTCCACTTTTCTTAAGTTCATCTCTCCTTCTTGGTTTATTACTCTTATTTCTCATGAAAATACAGAGTTTTCTTGTATTCATCACTAAAGAACAAGTAGAAAACAGCCTAACATATCAGTGGCCTTTTGGGTTAACTCATTGCCCAACTGGTGGCACCCCCAATTCAAACTGACACCTCTAGAAAATTAGAGCCCTCTCCTCATGGTCCTTTGTGTTAAATTCATTAAAGCTTTAGAACTACTGTGTTGCAACAAGACTACCAAATGTGGAGAGTGCCCCACAGAAAGGTTCTTGGAAAGATGAGAAACAACAACCCACAGTTGAGTGAATTACCAATTCCAAGATGAAGGCTAAGGAAAAATAAATTAAGAAAGAGATGGATGAAAATGACTTTATTTCTATTAAGAACTCTGCTTTAAAAAGAAAATTAGAAGAGTTTTTAGTTTACTATTATTGCTCTTATCCCATTATCACAATAAATGAACCAAGTTGTGATAGATTAGATTATACTTTTTAATTCAAATTGTTGTTGGTTTGGGAGGGTGTTTTGGGGGGGAAGAGGGTTCTGTATAGATAAGATAACAGGCTAAAAAAGAAATCCTCTCTCTTTGAAAACGCCACTGCTACACAAGTAGAACAGAACACAACCTAGGTCCTTTTCAGTAATGACAAATTGGTTAATAGTCCCCAGCCTTATGTTCGAAGTTGTGTAAAATCCAAACAAACTAGCCAATGTAAAACTTGATTTTTAGTGGGAAGGTGACTTTCTTAGGACTATTAAGACAACAAGAGGATAAGAGTTGGTTCCTTTTTTCTCTTAATAGAAGCACTGCTATAAAAAGTGCTTAAAGTATCATGAAAGATTTTTACTTGCCTTAGCATAACAGGCTAGCAGACAAACTGTTATTGTCTCTTAAAGCTGAGATGAGTAGAAGAGCAAACTGTAATAGGTCTGCTTGGAACACTGTTGTTGAAATTCTCTTGATTGTACTTTAAGGTTTGCAGTATGTGTATATAGTGATTGATGGTTTACAAGCTCCATCTGTATCTATCACTTTTCACCCCCCCCCCAAAAAAAAACACTGTGACTTAAGCAGAGATATCTGATAAATTCAAAACTTGTGTGACTCAGCCCTGCCTGCACGTTTTTAGTAATTCCACCCCTGCCCCCACCTCACACACACCAGGTAATTTAGTTCATGGAATATTGTTCTGTGACATGTTTCTCTTTGCCAGTAATCTTGAAAATAATCAGATGCTAGACAAGCCCTCTTTCTCAAAGTTATACTAAGATATTTTATTAACAGAGGATATAATACAGCACATGTATCATGCTGCACACTGGTTATAGCCACTGAGAATCCCCAGGCTAGGTCAGTTTGTAAAAGTCCTATTCTATTTGCCTGCATAAAAGCCTGAAGATATGTGATATGTCATCATTTAAGCTGCATCTTCTAGGAGGTCATGAGATTCTACTGAAATATCTTTGCTGGGTCCTTTCCACAAACTCCTACCTTTAGATGAGTAAAAACACATAGTATTTTCCAGATTTGGCTCTACTGTGGCTAACCTGGTTTGGACACCTGTGTGTGTATAGTGATTACCTTGTTTGTCTATGATGTGGGCTTCTAGTGATGTGGCCAGAGCCTAGGATTCTGAGCATCTGCTCTTTGCTCCCTGATTGCTATTTATCGGAGCAGTCTATCAGGTGTTGCTTCCCAGCAGTCCATTACTCGGCATGGTGTCCTCTGAAATTGTGCTTCAGTGTCCTTGCAAGACTGTGTTTATCCTCACAGTCTGTAGCTATCCCCCCCATCAGCTCACCAAACCACATCTGCTCAGTTGCCCTGGTACCATCTATTCGTCTCACCTGCGGGGCTCCAAGGTAACACTCTATGCTGGCAGGCAGGCTGCATACCAAGACATTATTGTTGATGATTACCTGACTTGCCATTTCATGGTGAGCCTTATTTACATCTACATGAGAAGAACCAGGTGGATTTTTCTAATTCATCCCTGTCTCAAAGCTGTGGGTTTGACCTAAACCCTCATTTTGTAAATTCAGAAGCATGATGCTATTTTGGTGTTTTGCAGTCTCCAGAAAAGCATATTTATCTTCTGAATCTAATTTTATTCTAATGTTCATTCCTTGCAGCCGTTGGGCAAGTTGCTGCTTACAAGCATCAGCTAGTAATTTTGTATTGTAATTTCAAAACATAGATTGCCAATGCCTTTTCTATACAGCTCTATATAGCTTTTCTATTCTGAATAGACTCTAAAACCTAGATCCCACCTTGTGATTCACTGGTTGCATCGCTAGTAAAGAACTAGAATTCTGTCAGATCACAGTTGATTCCCATGTAGTAAACAACATGTTTCCAAATTTCACTACTGAAAATAATATAGGACATTATTTTGATCATGAGTATACCTCTACTTCCTCCTCTCAAAGTAACTTAGGATAGTGATGGAATGGCATGTAAAGTGCTCTTTCAAATATTTAATTTAAAAGATGTCTCCATAATGATCACTTTGTTGAGTTTCCCAGCATGTGCATTCACGCCACTTTGGGAAGTTGCTAATCCATCATGGCTGGTAAGGAGCATAGCTTCTTTCGCCTTCCATAAAAGGAACTTGTAACAAAAACAGCTCTTTTTCAATTACTAATTGCTTGAGCAGTTAGCTGCTACTAACCTTGGAGCATAGCTAGGGGGTATAGGTCAACTTTTATAGTGACTACAGACCAAACTTTGAATTTTGTAAAGAAAATACTGTGCCTCAACATTTCAACTAATGTTTGTAAATGTCTAAGTGATGTGCTAGACATTCTGATATTCACTATCTTACTTAAGCCTGGGAAAAACCTATGACATATGTAGTTTTCTCCATGGTATAAATCAAGTCAATGAGCCTTGGAATGGTTCAGTAACTGTCCAGATATGCAACTAGTAAGTGATATGGTAGGTCCTATGTTTTCTTCCATTCTCTTCACCACATTATGACTTTATTTCATACTAAACTTTTTGTACAAGATCATCACTGGCAGAAGCTGTGACCCTCAGAAGCTGGTCTCAGAGAGGTGGTCTTATTAAAAAAACATGTAAGTATTTTCTACCTACATGTTTTAAATCATGTGAGGAGAACTTAACTAAACTAGTAGGAATGTTTGTTAAAATCTCCTTTCCTTTTCTATCCATGATCCTCTATACCCTCACTTTCTCTGAGTCTTATTTAAAAGTCCTTCACGAAACACTCTGCTGACCCTGATCTTCCGTAACTTTTCAGTCTTTTAACAAAGGACACTATTCTCCTAATCTTACCCTCTTACCTTTCTACCCACAATCCCAGTTCTCTTTCATTCTCAACATTCTTATTCGGCATCACAAAGGTCCAAAGAATCCACCACAAGGCAGTAGGAGAAACCTCACGGGAACATGCTGAGGGTAGATCAGGGGCTGATTCTAGTGGACAAAGCCAGTACCATCTTCACCAAGCAGAGGCATAGGACAAAGGTGAGAGTATGCATATAGTAACAGCTTTTCCCCAACAACAATACCAAACTGGAGACCTTCATGAGAAGGACCTTTTTAACAAATCCAACACCTGCTTGGAAAAATAAGAATCATGCTCTGCTACTCCATTCCTTTTAAGTTTAGCAGGCCTGCTGCTGCTTGCCTTAGAACTCCCCATGATAATCAGTGACTTATACATCTGAGATGACTTTGTCCAGCTTCTGCTAGAATCTCTGCCCTAGTTCTCATACATGTCATCATAGCAAAAATATTTTGTCTAAGAAGTTAGCAAGAGAGGTATTTTCAAGTGTGCCTGCATGATTCCTACTGTGAATTCTCTCAGTAAAAAATGAAAGCCCAGCTCTGAAAACTACATGTTTGTATCAGTTAGTTATCTCAGAAGAAGCTGGATAACAAACAAGCACAAATTCTCAGCAGCATATAATAATAAGCATGTGTCTGGCTCATGATTTGTGGGTCATTTGGGATTGGCTAATTTAGGCTGCACTGGGTTGGGTATATGATGATCTCAGCTGTTTACTCATGTGACTGGGGATCAGCTGCGGATCAGGCTGAGTCCACAGGGGCAGCTTAGTTCTGCATGTTTCCCATCCTCCTGCTCCCTGCCCATGTTCTCAAGACAGTAGCAGAAGTGCTGGAGAGCAAACTCAATAGGGCAAGCACTGTTCAGGCCTTTGGTCAAATTGGGCTCTTTAATGTTTCATAGCCCAAAAAGTCCCATGAACAAACCCAAAGAAAAGGAGTAAGGAAAGTGATTACCCATTCTTATTAGGACAAACTACAAGGCACATGACAATGAGCATGGATCTAGGAAGAGGTAAAGAGTTGGGAACACTGATAGTGTCTACTATAGTCGTTGATCTATTATTCTTGAGTATCATCCTATTAAAAGTTAAGTATGGTTTCTTCTGGTAGTGTCAGCTCTAGATGCAAGCACCTTTCACTCATTCATCCATTCATTCACTTGTTCACTTAACACATAATGTTGAATTCTTTAGACAAGTGCTGCTTAATAGAAATATGTTGTGAGTCATAGATGGATTTAAATTTTTTCTGGTAGCTACTTTTTAGAAGATAAAAAGCCACAGGTGACCAGTAGCTACCATATTAGGCAATGAAGTTAAAGACTATATATTGAACTTAGTGCTGAGGATATGACACCTGCCCCATAGATCTTACAATTTTGAGAGAAAGGAGATTTAAACAGTGAGGCATTATATATCTTTGTGAGAAGCTCATATTTTAGTTTACATTTCTCAGATCTTGTCATACACCAGTGTACCAACTCCATTCCTTATGGTAATAGTTTTCTATTACACATTTCCATACAACCTCTCTAGCCTAGTTTGGTTAGAGATATTTCAACATGCCTTTTCAAAATCTCTTATGAAGAGCTATCACTGTACTCTGAAGTCTGGCAACAAAGGTGTGTTGTTTTTTTGTTTTTTTTTTCCCCAGAATCAATATAGTAAAGGGACATTATCTGAGATCTTATTACCAGGTGGATAAATTTTCACATTATAACTTTACCTGATAAGAGTCCAAGATCCTTCATGATAGAAATGTTGAACAGAAAAGTTGAGTTTATCAGTGTTCATCTGCTAGAAAAAAAAAGGGGGGGGGTGGTTGTAAGAGAATGCATAATAATAGTAAATAAAAGAGAGAATGTTGCTTCAGAAGTAGTACAAAGAATAAGAAAAGCAGAGAATGGAGAAAATAAGAAAAAAGGAAACAATAGTCTTTATCTCTTTTTTACCTGATTAAGCTTGTAAGTGCCTAAAAGAAAGTTTTACCTTCTCTGCACTAAACTGTCTAAGCGAGATTTATCAAAAAGGGTGGTTTTTAGAAAGCAATTATTGTCCATTGAAATTGCAGATAAGGGTCTTGACAAGACTAGGGAGATAAGATATTTTCTTTGTAGTCTAAAAAATAAAAAACCTGATATTTCTTTAAATGTGTAGGCATAGCTTATAAAACTGAAAAAGGTTTCTTTTAAATGCTGTGAATCACCCTGTGATTTCCTTTCTCTTTTTAAATCCTGTTCTGCTTATTGCATGCCTTTTCTTTGGTGATTCATTGCTTTGACTGTGTAACTCCTTGATATCAAAACCACTTTGGGGAAATGCCCCTGTGCTTCCTTGTTCCTCTGGCAACATGGCAGGGCCCAGTGCTGGCACTTGGATTATGCTCTCAGAGAACCCAGAGCTTCTTTGACATAACTTGTGTGATTGGTACTTGCCTCCAAACAGCAAACAGTTTAGGTAGAGAAAAACACACTGGATTTTAAGCTCTGAGATGATGTTTTTACAAGATATTACTAAAAACTGCGGTTCTGGCTCTGTGTTTTCATACAAGACACTTTAGAAAATGACTATAATTACATAGCGAAGAGAGTCCAGATTACATGGTGGGCATTTTTACACATTAAATTGCAAAAATATATTTGCGCATCTACTCCAGTTTCTCATGAAGGATTTAAATCAGAACAGCAACATTGGTCTTGTGTTTAGTGACAAAAGATCATTTCAGTCATTTCAAATAATATTTTCCAGCTCCAGTGGATATCCACCAAATATCTTTCTGCTCTTCCTCCCCCAACACACAGACACACACACACACACATTTGACATTCTTGCTTCTAATACTAAAATACTTTGAGTCATTTCCTTTTATTAAGATGTTTTCAGATGGAGATTAAAAATAAATTGAAGAGTCAAGCAATAACATGAGAACTGACTTAAAACAGTTTAAGCTGAAGTCAATGAGTATATTGTGTCCTCACAAATTACCTAAGAATCTTTATACCCCCATGGCTTAAAACAAAGAAGGCATACTATAAATCTTTATTAGACGAACAAGTGAATGAATGTTATCTATTTAACATTAAGAAATTGTAGTGACTGTGGGTTTCCCTTTTTCTGGAAGCAAGTTCCTTCAAGCAGAAAGAAGGATCTATGAATTGGACAGCCTTTTGGATATAGACATTAGCACTCTGTCTCTGTGTCATATTTCAAGGGCTAGAAGGAGTCCCACCAACTGCAGAGAGGCCAGGCCTAAATATAAGTGGAAAAATAGGGCCACAGTTCTCAACTCCTATTTTCAAACCATGGCTTCAGCCTCTTAAGTGTGGCCTGAACAGAGAAGTACAAGAATGGCGATGGAGGTCTAACCTTAATATGCTTATTACTTATGCTATATCCCTCTCTCCTGAGGAAACCCTATCTCAATTTCAATTTTAAGATTAAGGTCAGAGATACTCTGAATCTTCCTTTAGCAAAGCAAAACCCATTAACATTTTACTAGGGAAGTTCTTTTCCAGTCATCAGATAAACATAGGTCTATATTTAGGATGTGGGAGAATTTCACTCATTCAATAAATAATCATCAAGCATCTTCACTGAAAAAGATTGGTCTCCTTTCGTTAGACAAGCTCTCAACATTTCTATTGGAGAAGGGAATGGCACCCCACTCCAGTGCTCTTGCCTGGAAAATCTCATGGATGGAGGAGCCTGGTAGATTGCAGTCCATGGGGTCACTACAAGTCGGACACAACTGAGTGACTTCACTTTCCCTTTTCACTTTCATGCATTGTGAGAAGGAAATGGAAACCCACTCCAGTGTTCTTGCCTGGAGAATCCCAGGGATGGGGGAGCCTGGTAGGCTGCCGTCTATGGGGTCGCACAGAGTCGGACACGACTGAAGCAACCTAGCAGCAGCAGCAGTAACATTTCTATGGTGTTCCCACTATCATAATTATCATTTTAAAGTTAAGATATATTTAAAGTAGAGGAATTGTTTAAAACTTATTCTAAAATTCTCTATGTAAAGAAGTACCTTAGCAACACTTTTATTAAATGTTGATGAGCAGGTATACTGTTGCTCTTAGAAAGCTTCTATGCTGACAGCACTTATATTTGGTTTTGCTGCTTCCCTTTCTTCTACCTGCCTTTCATGTGAAGTAATACTTCATCTGACTTGCATGCAGGGTACAACAGTTTTCATTTGTTAGTGGAAAATCTCAACCTCACTAGTGACCAGAAATGGCAGTCCAGATTAATGAACAAACTTTGGCTGTGGGGTAGGGGGGAGAGGGAAGAGAGAAAGGGAGAGAGAGGAACTTTTCCCAGAAATTTCAGAATCATGGGAAAGGGAGAGAGAGGAACTTTTCCCAGAAATTTCAGAATCATAGACTTTTAGGCAGTCTAAGTGTTCAGAGGACATGCAGTCAATGATTCTCAGTTCAGGTTGAGTATTACAATCACCTGGAGATCTCCTGAGGCTCCATCTTCTCCAGACCAATTGAACCAACATCTTTGCTAACAGAAAGAACCTGGGGATGGGTATTTTCTTAAACCCTGCCTACTCTAAAGTGCAGCCAAGGTTTTCAAACAATTCCTTTAGTCCAGTTCTTTTCATATGGATAGACAAAATAAAAACCTGTCAGAAAGAAATGAAATATAGTATTTCAGACCTTTTAGAGCCTGGATTAGAAATCACATTACCTAGCCCCAATCCAGAGCAATTTCCATAACATAGTACTAATATCTTTTGTTAGTCTTGACTCATTTGAACTTTCCCCTGATAAAATCATAACAGGGGCATAGCAGGCACACAGCTGTTAGCAAGTGACCAGGCCCCTCCCCCAAGCAAGCAACCGTTAGCGAGCAACTGGCTACTAGCGACCGTTAGCAATCCCGCTCAGCCATTGGTCGGCATCGTAATGGGCCCCTCCCCCAAGCAAGTGACAGTTAGTGAACAAGGTTAGAGCAACTGTTAGCATTGCCTGCTCAGCTATTGCTCGGCATCGTGGCGGGGGGCGGTGGGGGGTGTAGGGGAAGGGTGTCCGTCCACCAAGCTAGTGACTGTTAGTGAGCAAGGTTGCAAGGTTACGGAGCAACCATTAGCAGTCCTGGCCTTGCCAGGGACTCAGTGGTAAAGAATTTGCCTGCCAGTGTGGGAGATGCTGGAGACACAGGAGATGCAAGTTCGATCTCTGGGTCAGGAAGATCCCCTGGAGAAGGAAACCGCTACCCACTCCAGTATTCTTGCCTGGGAAATCCCATGGAGAGCGGAACTACAGGCCATGGGGTTGCAGAGTTGGACCTGACCGAGCACTGCACATTAGCAGTCCTGCTCAGCCATTTGTTGTCATCACAGCAGGGCTTTCTCCTCTCTCTCCCCTTCCTTTGTATTAAAAGGAGCCTGAATTCAGACTGAAGGATGATTTTTTAAAATTAATCTTTATTTGATTATAGTTGCTTTACAGATGGCATTAATGGTAAAGATCCACCTGCCAATGCAAAAGAGGTAAGAGACATGGGTTCGATCCCTGAGTTGGGAATATCTCCTGGAGGAGGGCAGGACAACCCACTCCAGTATTTTTGCAGGGAGAATCCCATGGACAGAGGAGCCTGGTGTTTATAGTCCATAGTGTTGCCGAGAGTCTGACGTGACTTAAGGGACTTAGCACAGCACATAGTTGCTTTACAAAGCCGTGTTAGTTTCTGCTGTACAACAAAGTAAATCAGCTATATTTGCACATATACCCCCTTTTTTTTGGATTTCCTTCCCATTTAGGTCTCCACAGAGCATTGAGTGGGATTTTCTGAGCTATACAGTAGGTTCTCATTAGTTGTCTATTTTATACATAGTATCAATAGTGTATATATGTCAATCCCAATATCCCAATTCATCCTACTACCCACCTTTGCTCCACTGGTGTCAATACATTTGTTCACTATGTGTTTGTGTCTATTTCTGGGAGATGGTTTTTTGAGATGCTAGTCTGCTGTCTTCTCAGTCTGCCAGCTGATTAAAGTCTTTATTCTTTGCCCCAACAATTCGTTTCCCAGTTTATTGGCCTGTGATGCAGTTAGCAGAGTGAGCTTGGGCTCAGTAACAAAACTAGCAGAAGAAATCCTGCTTCTCAAATTTTTCTATCAAATGGCTGCTGCTGCTGCTGCTGCTAAGTCTCTTCAGTCGTGTCCAACTCTGTGTGACCCCGTAGACGGCAGCCCACCAGGCTCCCCCGTCCCTGGGATTCTCCAGGCAAGAACACTGGAGTGGGTTGCCATTTCCTTCTCCAATGCGTGATGGGCATGAGGGCAAAACCCCACCATGCTGGATAAACACATGAATTTCCTACATTTCTTGGTACTGTTGGCTTCCTTGGCTTCTATCAAAAATAAGTTAGTCTTTGATTGTTGTGGAGAGTTTTTGAACCATATTTATAACTTTCATTTCATATAAGTCAAAAAGATATCTTCAATCACTTTAGCATATGTAGACCCATTTTTTAAGTCATCATACATATAAGAGTAGGTGTAACTCACTTCCTGAGAAACAGTCTGAGAAAACAGCCCTGATAACATGGGCCCAGTATGCAGTGTTGAAGATACAGATAGTTAAACATTTTCCTGTTCTTTTGACATCTATCTTTTCTGTGTGTGTATATCTGTTGAACTCATCAAAGTCTAAAATATTTCAATTCAGCATAAAATTGCAGTACCAATTGTCATATGGCATATATTTTATCTTGTGCTGGGACGGGAAAGCATATCTAAATGCATCATGCCTATGCTCAGAAGTAATGCAAATCTTCTATCTTGCCACTGCCAGAAATAAATGAAAATGATAGTAGATAAAGGCTAGAAACATTTTTCTGTGTTGCACTGATGCAAAATTTTGTGTGTAGTGATCATCATCATGCATTAAGCATCCACTGTAAGCCAGACATTCTAGATGGGCAGAATATTGAAGGCATAATTTCTTCAACTCTCATTAATCAAAAATAAACACAATTTAAAGTAGTTGAGAGTAAAGAATAAACACTGAAATTTTTAAAACACCTAAATAGATTATATGATTTATAAGCAGAACTATATACATTCACATAGTTTTTTCAGCCTATTACCAGTCTCCACTAAAGACTCATTTACCTAATTAGATAATTGAACTGTGTCTGTGCCTACACATGGTTGTTACCTTATGTGAATTGTGTATGAATTGTATCCGTAGTACACAGAATAGAGAAATTCATGAATAACAGGTGTTTTAATGATTGTTTTTGTTAAAAGCCTGCAGAAATGCCCATGTCAGAACCACAGAGTAAAGAAAGATCAGTGTATTAAGAAGGAGCTGGCCTGATGGAGGTCCATAATGAGGGTCACACTGCCCTGATGGAATTTACCGCTGCTCAGAATATGAGTCCCTGTGTTACCAGTGTAAGAATTTGACTCAAGCAGGAGGTCTCATCCTGGTCAGAATCACAAGGACCTGAAGCACCTGAATGAGGTGATCAGTTCACAAATGGAGAACCACTGCCCTACTGTGTCCAGAATGTTGCTGTCTTTTTTGTCTAGCCCCTCTTTCTGACCTAGCAGTCCCTGGGGGAGCTCATGAATAAATGTGGGTGGTTGTAAGGGATGTGCCAAGTAGACCCAAGGGAAGTGTGAGGAATCTACTGAAGATGTGACTTCCAGTTTCCAGGAGAACAAAGGATCTCCATCTGCACTGGCAGCCCGTGATTCCTAGATTTTCTCTTCATTCTCAAAGCTAGTGGTGATCAATCCATGTTTCATAGAACCCTCGGGTTCTGTGCAAGGATTATTTTATGGGAGATGGATCCTCTTAAAAAGAGAGAATAAAACTTTAACTACTGCTCTCTCTACCCATTCTCTCCCTGTTAATGATACAATTTTAGCTTCTTCAGTCACTTTCCAGTCCTGTCTCCTGGTAATGACATTATTTCCCCTTAGTGGACTATTGGGAGTTCCCAAACTCCCTGTCACTCTTTTACTGAGATAATCACAGAACGTCAGCCATCTAGGGATAATCATAAGTCATAAATAACTTTTACTTAATTCTCATCATATGGTATTATTTCCTCATTTCCTTAGGAAGTTTTCAAAATTATAAGTGAGAATTTTACTCTTTACTAGTAGGTACTGTTATTTGGTACTCTAGATCTTTGAGCCTGAGGTAGATTAACAAAACTTTTTATATTTCAATGCAATATTGAGAGAAAAACATACATAAAATATATATAAATAGGCAAGCCTATATTCTTTTTTAGCTCTCTTAAACTCTTTACTCCATGTGTTTTATAAAACGTCATTACTTGCGTTAGAGATAGCTATGACATCCATTGGCAATCTCATGCTCTTAAAGGAGTCAATTTTTAAAGAAATACAAAAAGTGTTTTACTATAATTATGGAACATATGTCAATTTTCATGCAAAAGGACTAACCCCATGTTGCCATTAGAAACAGAAGTTAACAAAACAGAAAAGTTTAGCCAGAGAAATATCATATACTTGAAAATCACTTTTTCCATTACACAGAAAAGAAGCATGTATAAAGAGGCAGAGTATAAGGTCCTTTCTTCATGCAGTTCTGCTTATTTTTTATTTATATAAAGAGAAGCAAAATAAACAGTGCCACTTCAGCCTATCCCTTGGAGTTAAAGTTACCAGAGGAAAGAAATCATGACTTTATCCTGGTAGAATTTTCCTTGAAAAGCAGTTGAATATTAAATCATGAATCACTAGTTTCTTAAAATATTTTTTAATATCTTGGGTAAAAATTGTAAAATAGTCTGCTCTCTGATCTTTAAAACAATTATTTGTAGTCATGCTTAAGATGCAATTTGTGCAAGAGAGTTTCTTTTTTGACTTTCTCCTTCCCTTTAAAAAAAAAAAAATTTAGACTCCCTAACATAGTCAATACTCTGAGAAAACCTGAAAATATTTATAACTGAACAACAAACTTATAGAAGCTCAAAGGCAATTACCTCTTGTATAAATATGCCTTAGGCAGATTTCAACTAGTTTTTAAGAAGCAGAAGTTTAAGCTTGCTCAAGAATTTTATTCATGCAACAAAATATGCATTATCTACTCTCATTTCCTGCCCTCTTCTCCTCTGGTTCCTCTTACTTCTGTCTACCATTTTTAAACTTAGAAGCATTATCTGGCCACAGCTACACAGTCAGAAGTCTTTGAGAAACATGTACCTGTATCCTCTTGTTTAATTAAATGCTTACAGCCCCACTGTTTCTTTACCTTTAGACTCCAGTGCATGTTCTTATTTTAGATTACTCTAAGAAATCTCTCATTTAGGGTGGGATGTTTCAAAAGAACAGCATCGAAACATGTATATTATCTAGGGTGAAACAGATCACCAGCCCAGGTTGGATGCATGAGACAAGTGCTCGGGCCTGGTGCACTGGGAAGACCCAGAGGGAGTGGGTAGAGAGGGAGGTGGGAGGGGGGATCGGGATGGGGAATACATGTAAATTCATGGCTGATTCAGGTCAGTGTATGACAAAAACCACTACAATATTGTAAAGTAATTAGCCTCCAACTAATAAAAATAAATGAAAAAAAAAGAAATCTCTCATTTAGGTAATATCAGTATACAACATAGGTTAACATTTCATCCTTACCTTGGAATATCTACAGTTCTTTCTTGCCCCTTTCATGTAAATATCCAATAACTAGGAATTAATTTGTACTTGGGATAACCGTTTTCCAAAATAACTAGTCTTGGCTCAAAAAAGACTTTAGCTGTAAATTATCTGTTAAAAATTATTGAAGTTTTTGCTTATATTTTTCAAAGGTAAAAGATATCTAAAGATAAATATAAAATATTTGAGACCATAACAGTAAAAGTATAAAACATAATGTTTGAGTGTTTATGTTATTCAGGACTTATCTGAAGGTTTTCTGTGTCATTCAGAAAAACAGTTCCTTTGTAACTAATCTATACAAATTGTATAGAATTTGGATCCAGATACAAGTTTCCTCTTTTTTACTTTCACTTTTGACAGGAAAATAATATATTTCCCCTTGTCCATTTTTAAATCTTATCCTTTTAAGAGGGAATCAGAGTAGAAGAAATATCAGTATCAATACAAATGAATGCCTCTAAACCCCTACTAAGTTACATACTGTTCTTCTGTATAGTACAAAGAAATAAGGCATTTCTTTGCCTTCAGTTTACTTATAAGTAATTCAAATAATAACACACACAGGAAAAAATAATAACACAAGTGGTTCATGGTTCAAGAGTTATTGCAAGAACATTCATTCAACAACTATTTATTGAGTTCTGAGGATGTGCTAGGCATTATATTTTAAAAATGAGGATAATTGTGAACAAAACTGGTTGCTTTCCTCTAGGGAGATGAGGATAAAGAAGCAGGGACTTGGTGATATAAGTCCTTATTCTTTATTCTAAGAAAAGTGAGAAGGCATTGAAGGCTTTTAAATGGAGGGTTGACATCACTGGTTGTGTGTATGTTTTGTTTTGTTTTTTTAAATCACCCAAACACCATGAGGAGAATTTAGTGGAGAATTTAAAACTAGAAGATGAGAGACAGAAAAAAGTCATGCACTGTTCAGGCTATAGATGCAGTCTTAGAGGTGGTGGTGGTGGTGGCAGAGGAGAAAAGGAAAGGGTTGTTATTCCCTTCTCCAGGGGATCTTCCTGACCCAGGGATCAAGCCCAGGTCTCTTGCATTGCAGGCAGATTCTTTACCATTTGAGCTATAGGGAAGTCCCAAACTCTTAGTTGTGTCTGACTCTTTGCAACCCCATGGAATAGTCCATGGAATTCTCCAGGCCAGAATACTGGAGTGGGCAGCCTTTCCCTTCTCCAGGAGATCTTCCCAACCCAGAGACTGAACCCTGGTCTCCCTCATTGCAGGCGGATTCTTTACCCGCTGCACCACCAGGGAAGTCCAAAAAGGAAAAAGGAAGATAGAAAAGGAGACAAAGTAGATAGATTTTGAAAAAAGTATTAAGAAATAAAATCAAAAGGATATGATAATCAGAGACTAGGGGGAAAACCAGAATTTAATCTACTCTGATTCCTTGTTTAAAGGTTGAAGGCCAGGCTTTTTGGCTTAATTGATGGCTTATGGTGCTGTTTACAAAAATAGAAAACACTGGACAAAAGGTGTATTTGAGAGGAAGTTTTTATGAATCCAGTTATGGAAAAATTCAGTTTGAGGAGCCTACAAGACATTTAGGTTGAGATGTCAAATATTCAGTTAGAAATAAAAGTCTGGCAATGGAAGAAAATGTTAAACTAAAGATTTGAGTCTTCATCAAATGATAGCATTATACACTTTGATGAGCTCTCTTATCAGCATCTACAATGGAAAATCAGGTGATTTAGATTGGGATTATTCACTATGAATTAGAAAACTGGCAGCATTTCATGGGAAAGAAGGCTGGATCATGAAAGACATAGAGAAATGAATGAAATGGCAGGAACAAAATAAAAGTAAAAATAGATTGTAAAGATTTTGGTTACAAGTAAGATAAATACCAACTCAAACTGGCTTAATCCAAAAAAAAAAAAAAATGGAACCTATAAATTCACACATAACTGAAAGTTTCAGGGTATTCTACCTGCAAGCAGGGGTCTGTCCATGGGTAATACACCAAGATCAGAGCTCAGATTCTTTTTTTTTCAGTAATTTTTTTGGTGTTTACTTAAGTTCTGTCAAGTTCTCCTTTAATGATCCCAAGATAATTGCTAGTAGTTCCAGATGCTGTATGTTCATATGCTCATGTCCAGCAAGAAAAAGTCTTGTTTGTTTTTGCATAATAAGGCAATGAAAACCCCAGAATGGACATCATTGAACTATTAAGATTGTATGCTTATCCCTAACATTGTAGGTAGAGGTTGAGATACACAGATTATTTTTAACTAATTCAGGTATACCTCTGGAGTGAAGATAAATCCTCGCACTAAACTACTCAAAGTATTAGGAAAGGGGGATAGGAAGTCTAGGTGTTACATTGTAAGAAGTCTTAAATACCAAGTCAAAGACCTTATTCTTAATTTAACATACCAAAAAGAGTTCTTGTATTTTGAACTGAAGCAAGATCCAATGAAATTATTTCAAAAAATTAAGTTTTAAGGCAACTATAGTACATATGGCAATGTTTAAAAAAAAACAAAAACAAAAAAAGAAATCTGTTAAAAGAGCCTACAGCAATACTTTAGGAAAGATAAAGTGAAAACCCAAACTGTGATTGAGTAAAAACGTTGATGAAAGGAAGACAGTAATGAAGTAATGGATATGACTGTATTTCAGATGAAGAATCCATAGGACTTAGCAAGATAGTAAGAATAAACTTTATGGTGGAACTTCAAAATCTTCCACTGAGATTTCGTATAAGGTGATAACTTTGGCACAGAGGCAAAAATGGAATCCTTTCTTTGACCATAATACCTGACCCTTTTCTTTTAGTCTTAATTCTGAGCTAGGTTTTTCTTTTCTTTCTTTTTTTAAAATAAATTTATTTATTTTAATTGGAGGCTAATTACTTTACAATATTGTAGTGGTTTTGCCATACATTGACATGAATCTGCCATGGGTGTACATGTGTTCCCCATCCTGAACCCCCCTCCCACATCCCTCCTTATCCCATCCCTCTGGGTCATCCCAGTGCACCAGCCCCAAGCACCTGTTCTTCTAGAAAAAGCAAGAGAATTCCAGAAAAACATCTATTTCTGCTTTGTTGACTATGCCAAAGCCTTTGACTGTGTGGATCACAATAAGCTGTGGAAAATTCTGAAAGAGATGGGAATACCAGACCACCTGACCTGCCTCTTAAGAAACCTACATTCAGGTCAGGAAGCAATAGTTAGAACTAGACGTGAAACAACAGACTGGTTCCAAATAGGAAAAGGAGTACGTCAAGGCTGTATATTGTCACCTGTTTATTTAACTTATATGCAGAGTACATCATGAGAAATGCTGGGCTGCAAGAAGCACAAGCTGGAATCAAGATTGCTGGGAGAAATATCAATAACCTCAGATATGCACCTTATGGCAGAAAGTGAAGAAGAACTAAAAAGCCTCTTGATGAAAGTGAAAGAGGAGAGTGAAAAAGTTGGCTTAAAGCTCAACATTCAGAAAACTAAGATCATGGCATCTGGTCCTATCACTTCATGGGAAATAGATGGGGAAACAGTCAGAACAGTGTCAGACTTTATTTTCTTGGACTCCAAAATCACTACAGATGGTGATTGTAGCCATGAAATTAAAAGACGCTTACTCCTTGGAAGGAAAATTATGACCGACATAGATAGCATACTTTATAGAGACATTACTTTGCCAACAAAGGCCCGTCTGGTCAAGGCTATGGTTTTTCCAGTAATCATGTATGGATGTGAGAGTTGGACGGTGAAGAAAGCTGAGTGCAAGAATTGATGCTTTTGAACTGTGGTGTTGGAGAAGACTTTTGAGAGTTCCATGGATTGCAAGGAGATCCAACCAGTCCATCCTAAAGGAGATCAGTCCTGGGTATTCATTGGAAGGACTGATTCTGAAGCTGAAACTCCAATCCTTTGGCCACCTCATGCGAAGACCTGACTCATTTGAAAAGACCCTGATGCTGGGAAAGATTGGGGGCAGGAGGAGAAGGGGATGACAGAGGATGAGATGGCTGGATGGCATCACCAACTCAATGGACATTAGTTTGGGTGGACTCCGGGAGTTTGTGATGGACAGGGAGGCCTGACGTGCCGTGATTGGGGTCGCAAAGAGTCGGACACAACTGAGCGACTGAGCTGAACTGAACTGTGACCCCACACGCACAACTTTCCAAGAAGGCAAGTTCCAAACTCAGAATGAAACCTGCCCTTCACTCCACTGAATGAGAACTTACAGATTACATGCCTGCTTAGCAAATGTTTTTTATAGCATTTTGTCAACTTTCAATGAGTGTTAGTTAGCAACAGAACCCACCCAGTGGTTTAAACAAGTACAATTTCAAGTGTTGGTTCAGCTGCTTGTCAGTAACAGGGCTGATATCTTTGTATTTCTCTGGACTTTCCTATGTTTTACATCATTGTGACCAGATGACTGCTCTGTCTCCAAGTATTGTGGCCTCATTCAAGGCAAGCAACTGTGTGGTAAAGAGCAGAGGAACAGAAGTCTTTCTATTTATCAATAAAGCAAATTACTGCCTGGATTTCTTTCCCAGTGTACTTCTTATAGTTCATGGGCCAGAACAGGGTCACATGACCACTCTTAGCAGTAAGGGAGACCAGAATGAACATTTGATTTTTTGTTCTCTATTTTGTAAATCATAGCAAGAAAGTTGGGATGTTTTCTGGGTGACCAAACAGTAATTCTACCATGAAAACCCATCATTCTAGAGGGTGCTCTGTGCTTACATATGTATTACACTCTTATTTTGTATTTGACTTTGTATTTCTCCATACATGATGCCTCCTCTACCCTTTGGGACAATATCTGCATAATTAATTTCCAATTTCGAAAATGGATCTTTCATTCTCTTCTTCCATTAGCTACTACTAACATCTGTTTAACTCATGCAGTAAAGAAGCTGGAATTTTGGCTTCCCTAAGTAGGCAGCATATATTGACTACAAAGGATATTATTTATATTTAAGTGGAATTATCTTGGGAAGCATTATCCGTGTGTAGTAAAATATAGCAAAAGTACTAAATGATTCCATAGGGATTTAGTGAATGTATCATGTCTTATCTTTTATGAGGTGTGATAGAGTCTCGCAAAAGAATATATTTTTAAAAGGCTTCATCAACCTTAGAAAGAAATTCAGCATCAAAATGTAGCACCTGCATATCATAAATAAAATTAGTAATTATATCACTTGATGCAATGTTTAGGAAAATAGTCAATTAAAGCCGTATGAATTCAACCAGAATCCTCTGCAGGCAAGAGCATCATGCAATTCTGACTTCACAATGACATGAAATTTTAAATGACAACTGTGCTAAATCAGGGAGCAGCAAACCCAGGCCAAGTTTAAATTTAGTAACACTGCTAGTTTACTGAAAATAACCTTCTCCATAGCAGATTCTCTATAAATTTCAGGTGACCGACTACTTGTTTTTCTGTTCTGTTCAGAGATTATCAGGAACCCAGAGGCTTCGGTGTTGTCTCCCCTTCTCAATGGCCTTTCTGGTGTCCACCTCAGGAGTCTCCTTGGCCAGCCTTGATACACTCGGAAATTAAACAGAGGATCCACTGCATATATTCTTCTTGAAAATTTTCATCGTATGTGTTCAGAACTTACCAAATAAGCATAAGGATTTGAAGGTAAGAGAACTTTGGAAGTAACTCACATTCTTATGTAACTCTTAATTACATCAAAAAGTGAAAATTAAATCTATTTTTTAAAAATATACAAAAGTAAAGGAAATAATTGACTATAAGGAAAAATAGCTAGTTATGTGTAGTTAGTTCTACAGCAAAAAAAGTAATAAAATACAAAGTTTAAAAGTTTTATACATCATATAAAAAAATATAAATATAAGTATGGCACAGTGGTTATCTTGATATCTGAAATCAGTTTAACACAAAAAAGCATGGCATACAGTGGTTCTTAAATTTTAATATGCATGAGTTAAATGAGGGGAGTAGGAGCTTTTTAAAATGCTGATTCCTGGGCATATTTCACAGGTTCACTATGGTCCAGCAATTTGCATTTTTTACAGCTACTCACTCTCAGATGATCCTGATGAAGACAGGTCTTAGACCTTTAAGAAACAGAGAAATTAGCATTTAAAATAATGTACTTCTAATTTTCAAACTACATTAAAAGGGATTTTATATGGCTTGTTTCCTACTGGAAACAAGGAAAGCATACTTTAAATTAGTGCTAAATTAGTATTCCTTTTTTGAGCCCCCCAAATTGAATTATTAATCCTTTCTAATATTCTTTTTTTCTTTTTCCAATTTAGTATGATGTGCTAATTCCCAGATGTTCCTATCTCTCTTTAGAGTGACAGTCCTGTCATTGCTCTCTTCAGCTGTTTCTCTGTTCCACATAATGTTTTGGTTTATTCAGATGTTTATGGATCTAATTCTAAGAAGTATCTAGATGATAATAATGAACTACTGCTGAGGCTGGCTAAATATTTCTTTTCTTTTTTTGAGGGTTTGTCTTTTTCTCTTCATTTTGAAAACTCAGCCTTTTAATTCAAAAGAACAGATCTGCGTAATGTGCCTTTAGCTACTCTTTTTTCCTCTGCGGCTTAAACCTTAAAAAGTATTTGCTGTATTTATAACAGGGTACATGTATGTTTATTACATATCACTTTATTTTATTTCTGTTTCTGTATTTCATTTAGCAACTTCATCTTTATTATTTGCGATTTTAAGTTTCTAAAAGATTTGCTTTTTATTTCAGTAAAAGAAGTGATTGGTATTGACATATTCAGACCTTAAATTGTGATGATTTTTTAAAGATTCAGTATGATATTTTTATAGTGAAGAATGAAGTTTTTAATCAAAATCCATTGAATTTCAGACTTACTGCTATTTTCTGTTAGTCTTTGTGTGAACTTATTCATATTGTATAGATTTTCTTGTCCATAAAATATCAAAAGGCAAGAATAAACTTTAATCAAAAAAAGTGTGCCCCTATAACTCAAGTTAGCTATGCATGTTATTTATTAATATCACACAAAGAAAATTAGTATAGTCATATGCATAAAATAAAGCAGCATAAAAGTTTAAAATATATATATAAAACTGAATCATCTCACTACACACCAAAAGCTGACACAACATTGTAAATTAACTATACTTCAATAAATTTTTTTTAATAATAAAATGAAATAAAGTAATACTTAAAGTAACTAAAACAAAAGATTTGCAGAATTGTTTTAACTATAATGATGCATTTTCATGTACATTTGCTGTCAGAACTGTCCTCAATAATAAGATTGCCATCTGATGATAAAGTTCTAAAATTTGTAGTAAACAAGATGATAAAAATTCTTAAATATGTAGTACATAAGTTTAAGGTCAACAGAGTCTCCAATAAGATTTCATGAAGTTTTTAGTGTAGATCTTCTATAATCCTTCTGTTTCAAAAAAATAGAAATTATTCTTTCACCCTTTCGTGGAGAAAGAATGGAATTATGTCTTCAAATGAGCCACATTCATTATCATCGGTGTATTTATCTTAAATTGTGACTCCGTAAAGAAAACTTACAATGTAGTTTTAGGGAATCTTAGTGAAACAACCTCCATACTTGTGAAGTGAAATATACAATAAAAGAGTAAATTACAGAAACTTTAGAGAAGCATAAAGTTTTAGAGCAAAAATGGAGCATTGAGATCTTCTAGCCTAGTCCCTTCATGTACTGTCAAATTTACTGGTAAAAAGCTTAATACAAAAGAACAGTAAACATCAGTCTGGTCAGGTATGACTTATTAACAAGGAGAAACTAGGCAATATTTTGCAATATTTATTTCTTGTATGAGAAAATGAATTTGAAGAAGCGAAGAAAGTACCTGGTTACTTATAATTCAACTTGAAATCATGAATTATTTTAGTTGTCAGTAGATAATCTACCATGACATTAATCTAGAAATGAAAGTAGCAAATGTAGGTTTATTTCAGGCTGGCCTATCTATACCTGGAAGTCTGATATTGAGAGGGAAAAAGAGCTGAAAGAGGCATTGAGCTTTAGAACAGTAGAGCCATCTTGGACCATTCGGTATAGGAGAAAGGAGATTCAAATATATAAGAATCTCTGGGAAGTATTAGTGTTATTATGAAACAGTGTAGTAATGATATTTGTGAGATGTCCAGGATAATTAAAATGTGTTTATTATTCTCAGTTTAAGAAATTGGAAGGTCATTTGAATTTATGTAGCAAAAGTGAAGTTATTAATGTGGTAAAATACTCATATTGTAAATGGAAACAACAAATTATAAACCATGTTGTAATGTGGTTCTCATTTTTATTAAGAAATACTACAATGCATAGGAAGAAAATTGAAATGATCTGCATCATAACATTATTCATGGTTATGATCAATTGATGAAATTATGGTTGATTTTTATTGCTCCTCAGGATTTATACAACTTTTTCTAAAGTATATCTTACTACAGTAATTTTAGCATATTTTTAAGGGCTGAGAGAATATTTAGTTATCTGGGAAGTTCACTTTTACAGAACTGTAAGATAGCCCTGCTAACGGTTCTCTAAAATAGCCTTTAAACAAGGTGCTTGCATCTTGTAGTATTAAGCTGATTTGAATGTGAGAATATTTACTTCCAATTAGGTCAAAATGAATTTTAGATGTAATTCTTATTTTGTGGAATATTGCAGAAGATAAATTTCTCAAGTTTTTCTCCTCACTAAACACTGAAATTTTTGAATTATGATATTAATTTCTTAAAATAGTCTTTATTTCTGTATCATGTAATTCCAATTTGTTTTCAAGAAGTTTCTAACTATAATAGCTTGCTCCATTTCAAAGATAATTTTATATATTTGGTTACATTAGTGTTAATATGTCTTTGTTCTTTAAATCTCCGGTGTAACATGCGGTTAGTCTTACTATTATTACTACCAGCTGCAGTTGGCCTATGATTTTGTTCATTCTGTTTGAATCCAAAGTAATTAGCTCTTTAGTTTAATGACAATATTTGTTAATGGGTTTTTAGGGCCAAATTCTGCTGTTAGAGAGTGGGTGGTATATTTGAAGATAGAATCTGGCCCTTATGTTTTAAGCATAAGCTGTGTAATTTAATTTCAAAATGATGGTTTAGAGAGTTTACAGTAGGAAAATGAAATCTGCATTTATGTGAAGTTTGTCAGTTTCAAGAAACAGAAATGAAAGTGAAAATTTATGTAAATGAACAGCTAACCTACTCTAAATTCTCCAATACAGCTCTTCTGTATATTGTGTCATTTCGTGCATAGTTAGAATAAGAAATGAAATATGTACTGCCACATAAGGGAAATTACCTAATGTCTACTTGTAATTATCATTTCATATCTTATGAAATATTTTTGATCATTGTATTTTTTCCAGCTTTATGGAAATGTAATTGACATATAACATTGTGTAAGCTTAAGATGCACAACATGATGATTTGATACTTTTTGGAATACAGTTACCATGATACCATGATTACCATGATAAGGTTAGTTAGCATATTCATCACCTCACCTAAGTAAGAGAAGATATCTTAAATGTTCTCACCACACACATGAAAACTGATCGTTGTATTTTTGAAAGACTCATAAAATGTGAAGAATGTTTGCTTGGGGATCACTAGGATTTAAAGTCAGACTCAGTTTCCTGGTAGTGGACTGACCTTGGGAAAATCTCTTTACCTCTCCCTGGGCCTGTTTTCTCTTCCTAAAGTGATGCCTTTGTACCAGATAATCCTAGTAGTCGCTCTAAAATAAGTCTGACTTGCTTTAAAAGAGTGTTATGAGGAAGATGTAGCTTCCTAGGTGGGTCAGTGATAAAGAAGCTATCTGCCAAGGCAGGAGACACAGGAGACATGAGTTCAATCCCTCAGTCAAGTACCCATGGAGGAGGAAATGGCAACCAACTCCAGTACTCTTGCCTGGAAAATCCCATGGACAGAGGAGCCTGGAGGGTTACAGCCCATGAGGTTGCAAAGAGCTGGACACGACTAAGTGACTGAGCACGAGCATGATGAGGAAGGCACAGAGAAGGCAAGGAGAATGCAATGACCTGAGCTAAGTTAGTAGGTCTGGGACAGGGAAGCCTGGTGTGCTGCAGCTCATGGCATCGCAAAGAGTTGGACAGGACAGAGCAACTGAACTGAGCTGAACTGAAAAGGCACTCTGGAGAACTTTCCTACAATGACTTGTTACTTTTATTCTGGAAAAGAGAGAGATTGGGAGAGTCTATGTAGAATAAGTTGTAGGTTACTCTGTTAGAAATTTACAAAGAAATCAATTTTGGCAAAACTTAACAAAGTGAAACCCACCTAGTAACAATTGAGATATTCAACAATGAAATAGGGTGCCTTGAGAGATCGTGAATTCACCATCATTACAGGAAAAGAAAAGGGGTACCAAGGATGTTATGATCTGCGAAACTGGCTTCAAGGTGTAAAAGTTAGAGGCACATATTCTGGACATAGTAGAATTCAGCAAATATTGTTGAGCCCTTCTTGAAGCAACTATTAAAGGACAAACTCCATCAAACCAAGAGATGACTATAGACACTGCTGCAAAAGGACTGCTTATGAACATGGAATGCATTTAATTCTAAAACAGTTATGGAGTTTAGGGTAACACAAAATAGAGCAAAAA